TGGATCGGGCTTATTGGGACTAGAGGTCGATGCCAACGGTGTCGGGTGCGGGGATGGACTTGAAGTACACGAGGCGGTGTATGCGACCTTCTCCGCTGAAATCTACGCCTTTTCCAAGTCGACCGGTGAGGCGATGTGGAATTATAGAAGGAAAAACGGGATTCCTGACCCGGTGCTGGCAGACGGGAGTATCTACTTCGACAGCTGGAGTAAAGACGAGAACGACGAGCCCCGCTATTTCATCTACTTTCCTGGATGCTTCGCAGGGAAAGCTGAACTGGCGGCATTCTGACGTCGGGAGCATACGTGGTCGTGCCCTGGTCCATGACGGGATACTTTTCTTCGCCATAAACGAAGAAGCACACGATGGCCAGGAGAAGTACGGCAACTTGACAGCTTTTGACCCTACGTCCGGCTTCCTGAAATGGCGTTACAAGGTAGAAACGTGGATTGCCACATCCCCAGTGGAAATTGAAGGCAACGTTTATTTTTCAACTAGAGAAGGGGACGAGCCATTCTTGTACTCTATTGACACAGTAACCGGAGAGTCAATCGAAAAGCCTCAATCTCTTTGAACGCACACTCCATCAATGAATACGAAGAGCCACTGTGGTCTCCCGACAGCATCTATATCTCTTCAGAATCTAACGTTCTTTACTCCATAGACCTTGCTACTGGAGAAATAAACTGGAGCTACACTGTTGAAGGCATTGGGTTCAATACTGCGGCACTGCATGAAGGCAATCTGTATCTGCCTGTATGGGACCAAATCTCGAAAGGCCCTTTCACAATGGATGTTGTGGATGCAGAGGACGGAAGCCTTGAAGTGGCGTTATCAACCGGACCAACGGATTGTAGAGGTAGTGTTGGATGGGGGAAGCGCGTACATTACTTCCAAGAGCGGACTGGTCTCGCTGGATGCTTCGACAGGCATCCAGAAATGGGAAGCCGGTTACGTTTTCATTTGTGGACCGCCTGCCGTGGTTGACGGCGTTCTATACGGGCGCGCGATCCTCGACCTCTTCGGCTACATAGGGTTCGCCATTCGGGGCGAGTAGAGCCAGTAAGGGTGTGCATCGAAGGGCCCTACAGGCATAGGCTCTCCCCAGGAAGCAGGATTGCAGGGGGGCCACTATCCTGTACGATTCCTGCTATTATTCGCACAGGAATTGTCCTGTCCCCGACTTGCCTCTCCAAAGTTGCCTCAAGGAGTGTCTTTGCGATGAACGACTACACCAGGTATGCCCTTAACTCTATCCCCTTTCTGAACCCTGACCGGTTTAGTGAGGTTGACCTTTCCGGCGGTGTTGACCCCATTCTTCCCACGCCCTTCCGTATTGGGTCGGCGGCGGCGGCAAGCCTGGCGGCGGTGGGGCTGGCCGTTTCCGACCTTTGGGAGTTGCGCACCGGAAACCGACAAGAGATAAAGGTTGACGCACGGAGGGCCACGGCCTCCCTGCGCAGCAGCCGGTACATGACCCTGGACGGAGCGCCGACGGCCGGCGAGCGCAACGCGGTTATGGGCGTGTACCCGGCCAAGAACGGGCGGTGGAGCTACCTGCACTGCAACTTCCCCAACCACCGGGAGGCTGCCCTTAGCGTCCTGGGTGTGGAGGAGGAAAAGGAAGCGGTGCGCCGGGCCGTGTCCAACTGGGACGCACTGGAACTGGAAGAGGCCATCATCGCCGCCCGGGGCGCCGGAGGAATGGTCCGCACCATGCAGGAATGGGCTCAGCATCCCCAGTCGGCTGCCGTGGCGTCACTGCCCCTGCTGGAGATAGACAAAATCGGAGACGGCCCCCCACAGCCCTTGCCCGAGGGATCACGACCCCTTTCCGGCATACGGGTGCTGGACCTGACCCGGGTACTGGCAGGCCCGACCTGCGCCCGTACCCTGGCGGAACACGGCGCCGACGTGATGAAGATTGCCGGGCCTCACCTGCCCTTCAACGAGGGTCAGGAGTACGACACGGGCCACGGCAAGCTGTCCACCCACCTGGACTTGCGGGAAGGGCAGGATATGGAAACGCTGCGGGGGCTGATCCAGGAAGCCGATATATTCTCGCAGGGCTACCGGCCCAACACCCTGGCCTCTCGGGGACTTTCTCCGGAAGACCTGGCAAAGATACGCCCCGGAATCATCTACGTGTCTTTGTGCGCCTTCGGCCGGGTGGGACCGTGGGCCGAGCGGCGCGGGTTCGATACGGTGATCCAGACGGTCAGTGGCATTACCCACCGGCAGGGGGAGTTGTTCCCCGGCGCCGAGCCGGGGCCGCAATTCTACCCGGTGTCGGCCATTGACTATCTGACCGGCTACCTGATGGCCTACGGCGCGCTGACGGCCCTGACCCGGCGGGCAACTGAGGGCGGAAGCTGGCTGGTGCGGCTGTCGCTGGCCCAGACCGGCCGCTGGCTGGTGGGACAGGGACAGGTTGCGGAATCGGACCTGGCGGGCATACCGTCAGACTTTTCCGCTGACGAAGTTGAGGGCTGGACAACCGTAAGCGAGGCTCCTGGCGGCAGGTTGAAGCACCTGTCGCCGGTGGTGGAACTTTCCGAGACGCAGCCCCACTGGGCACGGCCAACGGTGCCCCTGGGCTACCATGACCCGGTGTGGCCCGCCCGTTCTACATAAGTGGCTATGTTGGGCAACGTCTATGCCGGACCAGTTTATCCACGAAGGGACACGAAGAAGCATGAAGTAAGGGAGGTGGCACGATGACTTCGTCGGCCGGAGTACTTGAGGGACGGATAGCAATCGTAACCGGGGCGGCCAGCCCCATAGGCATGGGACGTTCAATTACCACCGGACTGGTGCGGGCCGGTGCTCGGGTGGCCATGCTGGACATCAACGAGGACTGGCTGGACGAGACGGCCAGTGTGATGCAGGAAATAGGCGGCGATGACGCGGTGCTGCCCATAGTGGCCGACGTCACCAGTCCGGATTCGGTGGCCCAGGCAGTGGAACGCACCATCAACGAAATGGGCGGGCTGCACATCCTGATCAACAACGCCGGCATCAACCTGCGCTCGGGCGGTTTCACCAACCCCGGTGAAGCGGGGCGGCGCACCGACTTCTGGACCATTGACCCCTCGGGCTGGCTGCGGGTTATTGCCGTAAACCTGAGCGGGCCCTTCATGATGTCTCACGCCGTGGCTCCCCACATGGTTGAACAGGGGTTCGGCAGGATAATCAGTGTTACGACCAGCATGGACACCATGTGGCGCAAGGGCGGCGCTCCCTATGGGCCGTCCAAGGCGGGTCACGAGGCCCTGGTGGCTATCATGGCCCAGGATTTGGAGGGTACCGGAGTTACGGCCAACGTGCTAACCCCCGGCGGGGCCACCGCCACCAACATGGTCCTGCCGCCCGACGGGACCAGTTCCCGCACCCTGATCCAGCCCGATGTGATGCAGGCTCCGGCAGTGTGGATTGCATCGGACGAGGCCAGCGAGTGGACCGGCCGTCGCATCATAGCCTACCACTGGGACGAGTCGCTGCCCCTGGAAGAGAGACTGGAGAAGTGCGGGGCACCGGCCGCGTGGCCGCAGTTGGGCTTGCAAGCGGTGCACCCGGACTGGTATGAGCGGGGGTGATGGATGAAACTACAGGAAAGCAGTAGACCAAGTGGTAGGCGGTGTTCTTGATGAACCAGGAGCGCACCGGAAAACTAGCCTGGGAAATCTGCCACGAAGTCGATGTCCTGGATAGAAGGAATGCGAAAAGTGAACTTGGTGCCACCGTTTTGATTGGTCACCGCAAAATCACCTTGGCTGATGATGTCCATCCCTATAAGTAAATCGGCGCCGGGGATTTCTGCTTTGCTGACCGTTAAGTTAGGGAGCATTATTTCACTGGGCAGGGTTATATTAACCAAATAGACTTCGGCTATATAGCTTCCATCAACGTGGAAAACCCTTGTCAAACCCATAGGAAGCAGCCCGCAAGCATCAACTACAACCTGGGAGATTACGCTATTGATAGCCCCAGTGTCCCAAAGAGCAGTGAATGTTTCTCTATATGGCTCTGTAGCATCGGGGCTTTCTGTGTCCCAGTCCATGGAGACATAATATTCATTTGTGAGTTCATAAAGGGTAACTGGACTGGCCGTCGTAAAGGCATAGACCTGGCCTTCCTGCATTATGGTTCCCTCACGCGGGAACGGAATTTCTGTGTATACGCTTCGGTGCCTTCACTTACGCGCTGCACCAAAAAGGTTCCCATCGGGTGCTCCTTTCTCGTAGCAACAACTGCCTCGGCCTCAGTTGCGTAGTGGCCAATGACTCTTCTATCTTTCAGTACTATAACCCTGCCGTCGTATTTGGCCACCATCTCAGCTTGATGGTCCAGATAATACTTAAACTCTCTTTTCAAAACTTCGGTCGGTGTCTTGCTCATGACTTCACACCTTCTGGAGCCGTTTGGGAAAATACCGGCCAAGTCATCCTCAACCCACTGAATTCATCGAAATCACTCTTGTACATTGGTCAAGTTGTCCAAGAAATGGCTAGCCTAACGCAAGCTTCCAGCTAGGGCGTGAGGTCGGACAGCCTGGTGTCGAAGTTCCCCTTTCTTACTACGACTCCTTCCCTTTTTAGCCCTCGGCCCCTGTGCTATAATCGCAACGCCTTTGGACGGGGGCTAGTGGCGTTTGAAGCGCTTGGGGGTTGGTACGAAGGGTGGCAGGTAGCCTTCGCTTGGGGTATGTATCCCGGCGAAAAATTGGTTGCGGTGGAAGTTTCACCGACGATTAAGGGTCGGGCCGATTGAGTATCACGAAGGGGGTATGGCTGCCACTGGCTGGCTCAGGCAGTCCGCAAGCATGACGTACACAAAGGGCCCGTTGGTAGATACCGATAATCTCAGGATATTCAGCGGGGAATTCACATCCCCAGCTGGCCCAGTCGGTCTGCGACTACATGGACATACCGTTGAGCCAGGCAGAGGTGTTCAAGTTCGCCAACGACAACACCTTTGTTCGCATCATGGAAAACATCCGACAGCGGGATGTGTTTATCATCCAGCCCACCGGGGCGCCGGTCAACGACAATCTGATGGAACTGCTCATCATGATTGACGCCTGCAAGCGGGCTTCGGCCGGACGCATTACAGCCGTCATCCCCTACTACGGCTACGGCCGCACTGACAAGAAGGACCAGCCCCGGGTGCCCATTACGGCCCGCCTCGTAGCCGACCTGCTGACCACCGCCGGAGCCGACCGATTGTTGACCGTTGACCTGCACGCGGGTCAGATTCAGGGTTTCTTCAATATTCCGGTGGACGAGCTTACCGCCATGACCATCATGGCCGACTACTTCAAGGCCAAGGAGATTGAAGACCTGGTGGTGGTGGCCGTGGATATCGGCATCAGCAAACGAGCCCGGGACGTAGCAGAGTACCTGAACGCTCCCCTGGCCATCATTGAAAAGCGCCGGATCGACAATGCCGATCACTCCGAGACCCTCAACGTAATAGGTGACGTCAAGGGCAAGGTTGCCCTGACCTTTGACGACGAAATCCTTACCGGCGGCACCACCGTCAACGCCGGGCACGCGCTGCTGGAGTGCGGCGTAACCCAAGTCTATTGCTGCGCCACCCACCCGGTTTTTGCCAGCCGGGCTTACGAGGCCATCGCCGAGAGCAAGTTTGAAGAGGTGGTGGTGACTGATACCCTGCCCCTGAACCCAGCAGGCGATGTTGAGAAGGTGAAGGTTTTGTCGGTGGCCCCGCTACTGGGCGAGGCTATCAACCGCATTCACGTGGGGCAGTCGGTGGGCGAACTCTTCAGCTCTCGCAGTTTCCCGGAGTTTCCCAATCGGCCGGCGTAATTCCTATACCCCAACTTTAACCCTGTAACAGGACCTGACGCAGGTCCTGTTCTTTTTTGCCTATTCCTATTCAAACTACCTTAGAGAGTGGGCCATCCTGTATACTCCGGTTCGAATACCAAAGGAGGTTAGCTTCCATGTACGACTTGTTGATTAAGGGCGGCACGGTAATAGACCCTTCCCAGGGCATCAACGGGGCCAACGACGTGGCGGTGGAAGATGGCAAGATAGCCAGAGTCGCCCCGGACATACCTGCCGAGGAGGCCGCGCGGGTGGTTGAGGTCAAGGGCAAAATCGTTACACCCGGACTGATTGACCTGCACACCCATATTTATGACGGCGTGAACGGCAACGGCGTGGAAGCCGATATCGGCGGGGTACGGGCCGGGGTTACCACCATGGTAGACGCGGGCAGTTCGGGCTGCGATACCTACGGCGGCTTTCCGAGGCACATCATCCCAAACAACGCTACGGAAATTATCCCCTTCCTGCACATCTGCCGCACTGGACTGGCCACCACGCCGGATATTTTCAGTCCGGCCAGCATCGACCTGGACCGGACCATCCAGGTGGTGGAGCAGAACCGGGACACCATCTTCGGCATCAAGGCCCGCATGGTGTCGCCGGCCCTGGAGATTATGGGTATGGAGATGCCCCGCATGGCCAAGCGGCCGCCGTGGAGTCGGGCGTCAAGCTGATGGTCCACATCGGCGACACGGAAAAGCGCTACGACGAGAAGGTGATCCACCAACTGCTGCCCATCCTGGAGGAGGGGGACATAGTTACCCACCTCTTCACCGCCAACCCCGGCGGGGTAATAGACTCTGATGGCAAGCTGGTCCCTGAGGCCAAGGAGGCCCAGGAACGGGGCGTGTGGCTGGACACCGCCCACGGCCGGATGAACTTCAGCTTTGACGTGGGCCAGCGGGTGCTGGACCAGGGTCTGCTGCCCCACTGTATCAGCACCGACCTGACCCTGCCGGGCCGACAGCTTACGGTCCACAGCATGACGGAGATGATGACCCGTTTCCTGGCCATGGAGTTTACGCTGGAGCAGGTGGTGGAAATGTCCAGCCTGAACCCGGCCAAAGCCCTGGGCCAGGAAGGCCGCATCGGCTCACTGGCAGTGGGCCACCAGGCTGACATTTCGGTGCTGGACATTGCAGAAGGCGACTGGGTGGTCTACGACGTGGTGGGCGGCACGCGCCGGACTGAAAAGGCGGTAGTGCCGGTACTGACGGTGAAGCGCGGCGAGGTTTACGAGGCTGGCTGGGGCCCAAGGCCGTGGGGGTGGGAGCCGGATACGGCGTAGGGGGTTACAGAATAGGTTGAAGAAGACAGGGGCGGGTTCAAGCCCGCTCCGGGCAACTTACTTATCGTCTACTCGTTCTTAAGCCTTCGACGAGCTTATGCACATCTTCAAGGGTTTTGAAATACCCTTTGTAACCCGCCCAATTCGACCTCTCTTCTTCCAGAACACCTCGTATTTCATGGGGACCCATTTCCTCAAATTGGTCAGGTAGAATACTAGCTAGGTTATCCTGGCTAATGTTGAAATAATTAATTGGATCGAATGCCGTTCAATCGGAACCTTAGCCCAATGTTTTCATCACTTTGATCCAAATCAACTACAAAAAGAGTCAAATCCCTATCGTCGATTCGGGTTACGAAAGCAAGAGTGAATCTTCGCATCACCTTGGTTTTCAGGAATGACGAAGATTCGGTGCAAATCTTGTCGTACAACTCCCTAACTCTTCGATCATCGGCTTCAGTTTCCATTTCAGCTTTGTTCGGCAGGCGCTGCCCTTTGGAGCCTGTATGAGCCCTAACCTCCGCTATTTCTGGCTCGACCAAGAAAGATTGGGCCAGAAATTCACGGCCCTGACTGTCCTTAAAATGCTGGACAGTAGCTACGTTTATGGGGACGTTCATTTCAGACAGATAACCTACGATTCGCTCGGTGCTATCATCTATTGATTCAGCTACAATCAGAGATCGATGGCTTAAATTGGGAACTTCGGGCAGATCGATTTCAAACTTGGACTCAACCTCTTCCTTTAAAGTACCGGTCAATTTTGGGTACGCCGACACAAGCTCCTCGATTCTTCCGATATCCAGGCCTTTAGCCCAAGAAGCATACTCCAGAGCTTGAGCTGTCACTCTTGTGGGGGTCCGTCCCTTCTTCAGTTCGATAACTACCAACCCACCTGTACGATCGATACATAGCAGGTCAAGCCTACCAAATTCTGTCCTCACCTGGCGCCCGATTACCAAGAGATTCTCATCAAGTATGGAGATGTTGCTTTCCAGCCAGTCCTCCAAATGCTCTTCAAATCTAATTGCACTGGTCTGCAATTCAGCAAGAGCGTTGTTCTTGGTAACTTCCCACATCCGAATCTTTTGAGTCATCTACTTCTACTAACTCCCGCTCTTTTGCAAACCCTTAATCTTCTGCTTCACCTTCCTGCCCAACTGCCTAATCTTAGCCACGGGCCTAAACCTGGCCTGCATGTTGTGGGCAATCAGGGGGGCTACCTGCTGGTTGCCGGCTACCAGGGGGGCTACCCATTGGCGCAGTTCCTTCAGGGTGGGAGGTTTTTCCTCCCAGGTTGGCACCAGGGAGTCCATGGGGCTCCACTGCTTTGCCCGGTTAAGGCGGGTCATTACCGTGCCTCCGGCTTCCTGGACGGCGATGACCCCGGCCAGCATGTCCCACATCCGGGGCGCGCCGAAGATGGCGTACTGCATTACACCGCAAGCGGTCATGGCCAGTTCGTAGGCGATGCTGCCGGTTGTCCGCAGTTCGCCGGGGTTGCGGCCCACCGGCTTGCCGAATTTTGTGGTCTGAACGAAGAATCCGGGCAGGCCGATGAGGCGGTTGCCCACGGGCTTCTCCGAAGCGTAGACCCGACAAGACACCGGTTCGCTGGCAGCCCCTTCAGACAGTGTAAACCTGGTACCACCGTCCCGCCGGCAGTGCAGCACAAAGCCTCCCCCCGGCGAGGGCCAGGGGATGTAAAGGGCCCCAGCCACGGGCCGCCCACGATGCAGTATTCCGATGGACGAGGCGTAAACGGGCAGGCCGTTTAGGAAGTTGGTAGTGCCGTCCAGCGGGTCCAGCACCCACAGGAAGTCGGGGGCCGGACCGGTGGGGTCGGTTTCGTCAGAGCCCTCTTCGCCCAGGATGCCGTGGGACGGAAAGAGACGGGATATTTCCTTAACCAGATATTCCTGGGTTGCCTTGTCGGCGGAGGTTACCGGGTCCAGTTGGTTCTTGTCCTTGTACTCTATTGAGAGCTGTTTCCCGAACTGGGCGGAAAGGATCCCGCCGGCGCCCCAGGCCAGGGCAACGGCAGCGGTTTCGATCTCCTGCAACTGTTCCTGAAAAGTGGGGTTTTCTGCAATCATAGGGTTTACCTCAACCGCCGCCGAAACGGGGAGATTCTCGGGGGCCAGGGCCCTTGTGGCCTGGGTCTTCCGGGATAGACCGGCTAGCGGTACATGGGCTTGAAGAAGCTATGCAGGAAATTGCGCTGGTGGGCCCACGAATGAGTGCGCTTGACCACAGCCGGGGGGATGGCTTCGCCCTGCCGTTGCGTAATGCGCATGGTCTCGTAGCCGTTTAGCTCCGGCGGCGTGTCGGCGGTGAAAATAATCTCGCAGCCCTCGGACTCGAGGAACATCTTCAGGGACTCAAAGCCGGTTACCTTCCGATTAGGAGTCTGGTAAACGTAAAGCTCGGTGCAGCCGTAGAGGTCTTCGACGTGGTCGTTGCCGGTACCCCGTCCGCCGCCCTGGCGCAACTGCTGCCGGGTGAAGCCATGTCCGCTTAGGTTCATGTTCATAAGCAAACCCCTGAGCCGTGGTGTTGAAAGCGATGCCTTGGTGGGGATTATACCTTTCTCTCATCCACTGTTCTATCCACCCAGGAACACGAAGGTTCACGAAGGCGGGGCCATCGGCTGTGGCCGGAGCGTTGATTGTTAAGGGCCGAGGTTCCTGCCTTCGCAGGAACGACGGTGGTGCCCAGCCTCTATTACGATTGCCCCGATTGGTGTCCTGGTGCGAGATTCAGGCTACGGGTAAATGGCCCAGCCTACGCGGTCGGTTTCGGCGCGGTAGAAGTGGCCGTCGGTGGACGTTGTGTACAGGGTGGTGAGGCCGGGGCCGCCGAAACATACGTTGGTGGGGCGGTTGCAGGCGATGGGATGGGTTTCCAGCACCCGTCCGGCGGGCGAGAAGATGTAGATCATGGGGCCGGGGCCGCCCAGTTCCCAGCCAGCGGTGGCTACGATATTGCCGTCGGCGTCCAGGCACATGCCGTCGATGCCCCGGTGCACCGCGTCGGCGTCGCGGCCGAAGGTGTGGACCGTCCGGAAAGAGCCGAGGCTGCCGTCGCCGTTGATCGGATAGGCCCGCAGTTCGCGGTTCAGGTCAATGCGGTCGCTGTTGCTTTCCGCTAGGTAGAGAGTGCGCTGGTCGGGGGAGACGAGAACACCGTTGGGCATGGTGGTGTCGAAGGTAACGCGGGTGACGGTGTAGCTGCCGTCGGGCTGGGGGTCGGCCCGCAGCACTGAGCGGTTCTCCAGTTCCTCAACCTCGCTGGGGTCTATGTTGCCGGCGTTCCAGGGGTTGGTGAACCAGATGCGGCCACTGCGGTCAATGGCCAGGTCGTTGGGGGTGTTGAGCTTCTGTTCGTCCACGCGGTCGGCCACGGGGACTATGGCATCGTCGTCGAACCGGACGATGGCGCGGCCACCGGAGCAGCAGCCGAAGAGGTTGCCCCGGTTGTCGAAGGCGAGGCCGTTGGTGTGGTTGGTGCCGGTGCGGGCCTCGGAGATTTCGCCGGAGTTGGGGTCGTAGCGCATGATGCGGCTGGACGGGATGTGGGTGAAGAGGATGGCCTCACCGTCCCACACGGGGCCCTCGCTGACGCCGCCGTAGGGCCGGGCAAGCAAGTCAAACTGATACTGCCAAGGCATATTCTGGTTCCTCCTGAACGAACTGTTGGGATACAGCAGATTATCCACGAATGGGCGGGAAAGTCTACTGATGGAGGATGAGAACCAGAGTAATCGCATTTCGAGGGCCGGGGCTCTGCCGGGCGGCTTTGCCTCGACGTCCCAGGGTGGTCATAAACTTTTTAATTTTCTCTCCCCGCATTTAAAAATCCAGGCTCATGTTTCGACGCACGTTACCTCTGACGCAAAGCAGGTGGACGGGACTGGGGTGAGGGGCAAGCGGTATTACAGTTACCATGGTAGAGGCGGTAACAGGGGCTGTCCAGTGACGGTTGTAATTGGGCTCGGCGCACCAAAATAACCGACAGCCTTTGTCTTCCCAGGACAACTACATTGAAAATTTCATGACATTTACCCGGTAATATTCCTGGGGAGCCTCTGCCTGGGGACGTCGAGCTTGAGGTAAGGGTGTGCTTTTGGTTGGGAGCATGGTTAATGTGAGAAGTTACTCAATTCGCCTTATTTCCTTTGGGTGTTGCTGGCTCTGCCGTCAATTCCAATGATTGTGAATCTCCTGCAGGGTGGTTCCCGCGGTCGGTCCATCGCCGAGGAAATTGTGGGCACATCGGGCGTCTTGTCGTCCTTTCTGATGATAGCCGCCATGGCCTTTTCGCCCCTGCTGGCCTTATTCCCCAAGTCCCGTACGGTGGCCTGGTTTCTCCGACGTCGCCGCTACTTTGGCGTAGCTTCGTTTTCCTACGCCCTTGTCCATGTCCTTTTCTATTTTGTCGGCCTGGACACCCTGGCGCAGGCGCTGGACGACTTCCTTGCTCCCACTATCCTGACGGGATGTGTGGTC